GAGCCACTCTTTGTCGAATGGGACGACATAAAAGCGACCACATGAACACATTATTTTGTAGCAACCCGATCTGGAGAATGGGTCAACTTTCCCTCCAAAAGTGGGCATGACTGAAGAAATTGTCATAGTTCCTCTGAACACAGCTCAACAAGGATGGACTAAAGCCTACGTTAAATGTGAAAAATGTCGGTAGAAAGTTGAGCGGGAGCAACCAATGCTCGAATGAGGGATTCGAATGAGAGGGTACAGCGAGTTCATCATTCAGGCCAGATGATGACTGACGCGTTGTGATGTGTGCTTTCCTCGCCTGACTTGCACACAAACAAGCCTACATTTTATTTGCGGACCTGACCAATCTCGATCATGCTTTTGCTCGGTCCAGTTCCGTCTTGATCCACAGCGCCTGGCATCCAGCTTTTGTGATCAGTCCGTTTTGGGACAGACGTTAACACACTCTTTCACACTGACAGACAGACACACTCGAGTAACAGTGACATGACCAATGTGAAAGTTAGTTGGCCAAACTATGCTATATCTACTTTTATTTGCATTTGGTCGTTTTGTAGTCATGACCATACACAAGACTTTTAGATAGAGCCGGACAATCTTCTCGACTTGGTGCCAAATGGAGGTTTGCAAGAATCGGTTACAGCTCTTACGATCGCCGTCAGCTCGCGATCACACAAACGTGTACAACGGAAAAATTGCGACAATTCGTTTGTTCACATGAGACAGACACACAGAGGGATGAACCGACAGAAAGACAGACAGACATACAGACAGATAGGCAGACATACAAAAAGTCGTACAGACAGACGGACAAGCAAAAAGTTGGCCAGACAGACAAACACACAGTCATACAGTCAGTGTGACAGACGCTCATTTCGACAGGTAGGCTACTGGATATGTAAACAAATGGACAGACAGCGGTAGACATGTAAACAGTCAGTCGGATACACATGTAGATTTCATTTCGTTCGAAGAGGAGGGTGGAAGGGATTCGTGACCTGGTTCCACCGGAGACTGGGGCAGGTTACCTTGGCGCTGTATGTTTGCATATTTGTGCGACCGGCCTGCGACCCCGATCAAGCCGCGCCGACGTTGTCAGAGCAGGACGCCAGGCTTAACGACAACACACCGACAATGTGAAGGCAAGAAAGGTGACCGGCTTCAAACCCACTCCCGTCTGAGATGGCACTTCGGTCCGCCTGTACATGTCATGTCGTTTGCGCATAAGTTACGCTGAGTGGCTACAGATGAAGTGTGAAACTGAACCGTTGCCTCCTCCCCCAAAACGTGTATCTCCTTGATCCTGCCTTGTTGCTGCATGTGATTGCGTCCCATTGCACACGTGTGGTGTGAATGCATTGCTCTGCAAATGAGTGTGATGTTAGAGTGAAAAGCCTCATCCTCCTCCTCCTCCTCTTGCTCGCGGTACCTCTCTCTCTCTCTCTCAATCTATCCAACAGCCACAACTTGCTACCTCCATTCCTTCTCTTGAGGGTGTCAGCTGTTTTGTTGATTTCTATCGCCTCCCCAATCTTTCGCTTACTCGTTGGTACAGTCGCCATGTCAGGCATGTGTTCGCCCGACTCCGATATTTGCACACACACACACACACACCAAAATATGTGATTATGTATAGACCATGAGCCGAGGAAGCTGGGCTTTTACAAATATTATTTATATATTGTTTGGTATGGATATAAAGAGAATATCATTTTTAGTCTTGCTACTGCTTTAATAGGTAGACCAACTGGTGTAAAGGTTATTTCTTGTGTTGCTATGTTAACTACAGGATCTGTAGGTTGAGGTGATGCTATACTTTGGTGAATTATTTCATGTTTAGTATTAGTTACGGTTGAGGGGATAACAGGTATTGTTCCATCTGCCTCAAGATTAGATGTCAGTTTACATGATTCTTGATTTGCCGTTGCCCATTTGCAATCAGCATTATCTCTTGGTTCCCATGGAACTGTTGTTGTTGGTGTTTTGTGATTTGTTACAAGATTTCTATGATTTATGCTCAAGCCCATGGCAACATAAGACTTCTGGCATATCTAGCCCCAAATATGCATTAACCTCCATCCCATTTGACAATATCACAAATTAATTGTCAACCAGTCCTCGTCGACAATTGCTCTCAACCACAATTCTCGTTAGTCTCCTCAATTCCTGATTGCGATGATTAGCATCGCTAAAAAGCAGCTTCCTTACTTCCATTGACGTCATAACTCCTACTTCAACCCCATAAGTGTTTTTGGAGAAGAAGTTCCAAAACAAACCTACACTTGTGGGTTTCCTGTACACATCTCGACCTAATCTGATCCCCTCTTTGCGAATGAATGCATCAAGAAAGGATACACCACATTGCTTTTCTAACTTGATGATTAATTCTATCTTCCCATCGATACGGTTCGTCAAACAAATGCAATTCTCGAGGTTTTCTTTTCCATCTTGCCAAATAGCAAAGTCGTAGTCCATAAAGCGAACCAATAATTTGGCTACTAAAAGTAATTGCTGAATTAAATGTTGCCAAAATTGAATCATTTAATTATTGTTGAAATTGGTGACAAACACGACGCCTCCAGATTAGATGTTAGTTTACATGATTCTCGATTTGTCGTTGCCCATTTGCAATGAGCATTATCTCTTGGTTCCCACGGAACTGTTGTTGTAAGTGTTTTGTGATTTGTTACAAGATTTCTATGATTTATGCTCAAGCCCATGCCATCAAGCTGTGTATTTGTAACGGCTCGTGGTACTGTCTGCTCTCCCGATTGCCAATTATGCATGGGATATAATTTATTATTCGAGC